TTAAGGCCAGTCTGAACTACATAGCAAGACCCTATCTCAAAAAAAACCAAACAACTAAATAACTAAATATCAAATCAGCAACTTAACTATAATTTTAGGAACTAGAAAATGAAAAACTAAAAATAGCAGAAGTAAAGAAAGAATAAAGATAAAGTTAGGCATGATGGTGTTACACCTGTAATCCAAGCCCTTGGAAGACTGAGGCAGGAAGATTGTTGTAAGTTTGAGAGCAGCCTGCACTACAAAGTGATACTGTGTCTTTAAAAAAAAGCATGTGTATATAGTAAAGATTAGGGCAGAGATAAAAATACGGAAGAATTGATCAAAATGAAACCAAAAATTGGTGGTCCTCCTCCCTCCTTTCCACCTGAGATTCATTTTAGGATGTCACAAACACTAGGGAATTGCTTAACCACTGAGCTATATCCTCATTCTTTTTTAAAAAAAATTTTGTTTTGAGTCAGGTTCTCACTAAGTTGCCCATGCTGGCTTGAATTTATCATTTCTTCCTACCTCAGTCTCTTGAGTAGTAGTTCAAATTACAGGTGTCTACCACCACAGCTGGCAAAAAATCTTTAAAAGCTTTAAAAAGATCAACAAAATTGACAAACCTTTAGTTAGATGAAGTAAGGAATGAAAATTAGCAAAGTCAGAAATGAAAAGACACTACTGCCAATTTTAAGGAAATAAAAAGAAAACAAAGTGAAAAATTTTAAATGAGAAAAAATACAAAAGAGAAAAGAAATTTAAAAGGACTGACCCACCAAAAAATGTCTGCAAGAGAGTACGATTCACAGTTGTTTACCAGTAAACTGACTAGATGAAGTTGATAAATTCTTAAAAAACACCAAATATATCAAGACTAAGTCACAGATTTTTTAAAAAACCTGGATAAATATATAAGCAGTAAACAGGTGAAACCAGTATTCAGAATTCACCCAACAAAGAAAAGCCTTAGCCTGACCACTCAGTGGTGAATTCTACTGAACATTTGAGCCAGTCCTTCTCAAACTTTCCCAAAGAATTAAAAGAGAAAATACTTGTAAACTCGTTCTCTAAGGACAGCATTACCTTGAAACTAAAGCCAGAGAAAAACAATACAAGAAAACCAGACCAAAATCTGTTGTGAACATTGATACAGAAATCCTCAAAAAGCCTGTTACAAATTCAATTCAGCAGCATGTTAAAAGAATTAGATGTTCTGACCAGTTGGGATTTATTTCTGGAAAGCAAAGATGGTTCAACAATAATCAGTGTAATAGCACCACATTAACAGAGGGGGGCACGTTACCATCTCAATTGCTTCAGAAAAGGCTTTTGAGAATATGCAGTTTTTTAAATTAAAAAAACACTCAAAAGACTAGAAATAGAAGAAAACCTCATCGTAATTAAAACCAGTATACAAAAAGCTACAGCAAACATACTGAGTGGTGAAAGACCAAAAACCTTTTCCTTTCTGATGAGACATAAGGATGCCTATTTTTGCCACTTTTATTCAACATGGTATGGGAATTCTAACCTGATTAGTTAGGCAAAAAAGAAAAGATACAAAAGGCATTCAAATTAGGAAGAAAAAAGTTATCTCTGTTCACAGATAAAATTATCTTACACCTAGAAAATGCCAAAGATCACACCAAAAAGACTTAGAAATTCAGTGAAGTAGCAGGATACAAAGAACACAGCGGTTGCATTTGTGTGCACGACAGTGAATGATCTGAAACGGAAATTATACCATGTGTGATCATTTACTTCCAGGCTCTCTATTCTACCCTGGAAGTAAGTGCTCATATATGTCCAAGTGATTCTAAACAAGGGTATCAAAGCCATTCAGTGGTGGTTGGGGGGAGGGACCATCTTTCCACAAGTATACTGATAAACTAGATTATTAAATGCCTAGAAATGAAATTGGACTCCTACCTAATGTCATATGCAAAAAGTAACTAAAAATGGATTAAAGACCAAAATACGAGACTTAAAACTATAAAACTCTTAGAAGAAAATAGTGTAAGGGCCTCATGGTACTAGTTTTAGCAGTGAATTCTTGGATAAGACATCAGATAAACTGGTGGCAGGGCATGGTAGTACATACCTATAGTCCCAGCATTTGGAAGACTGAGGAAGGATTTAGTACAGACTGGCCTTGAACTCTGCATTCTGAATACTGGGATTACAGGCTGGTGCCAACATGCCTAGCTGCATTCAGACTTTTGAAGTACAGATTTTGTTTTGTTTTCTTGGCTAACTAGTGATTGCCAAAATGCAGTGAATAGAACATTAATTATAATACTCCATTATCAGTATATGAACTACTTTTTGCTAATACAGCTCTTTTTATCCTAGAGTGTTGCTTTTCCCATGTCTTTTTTAAAAGTATGCAGTTTAGTGGCTTAAGTGTATTCACAGTGTGTGATCATCACTGCTATCTGCTTTCAGAACTTTCTCATCGTGCCAAACCAAAACTACATACCTGTTAAACAGTCATTCCCTCCTCTTACTGCCTGACAACCACTGATCTGCTTTATACTTCTGTAGATTTGTCTAGGTTGAATATTTCAATATAAATGGAATTATGTGGTATGTAGACTTCCTGTAGTACTTCTTTCCCATAGCATATTTTAAAAGATTATCCATTCTGCTGTATATATTAGTATTTCAGTTCCTTTTTATAGCTGAATATTTTGTTATATGAATTTGTCACAATTAATTTATTCATTTGGTTTACTTCTAACTACCATGAATAGAGTTACTGTGAGTGTTCATTTACACACTTCCATTTGAACACCTCTTCAGTTCTTTAGTATGTATACTTAGAAATGGAATTATTGGACTGTGTGGCTATTCTATGATTAATTTATTGGGGAACTGCCAAGCTTTTCCTTATGGCTGTAATATTTGGTATTTTCACCAGTAATATGCAGGTGCTCCAGTTTCTCTCCATCTTTTACAGCACTTGTTATTTTCATTTTGAGGATTATAGCCATCCTAGTGAATATGAAGTGGTTATCTCATAGCAGCTTTCATTCGGCATTCTCTTCTTCCCGTATCGAGTGAATTTATTTAGTGGGTTGCCTTACATTTTCACTTATATTTTCAATGTACTTCTCCTATGCATTTTACTCTTAACCATATTCTTGTTATCTCTTGTCTCTTACTATACTATAAACTTTTAATGCAGTGGACTAGCCCCTAATACTTACTACCTGGTATAACTAACTACTCAGGCTATGTACACATAGTAGTAGTTTTTTCTGTCCAATTTGTTTTTTGTTTTTGTTTTTTTAATCTTTTTTTTTTTTTGTCTTTTTCCTTTTTATCGTTACCAGGGATCGAACTCATGACTGCCTGCTCGAAAGGCAGGCACTTATGCTGCTGAGCTAAACCCCAGCCCCATTGTTTTTTTGGTTTTTTGGTTTTTTGGTTTTTTTTTTTTTTTGTCTTTTTATCGGTACTGGGGATTGAACTCACGACTGCCTGCTTCCAAGGCAGGCATGTTTTTTGTCTTTTTATTGGTACCGGGGATTGAACTCACGACTGCCTGCTTCCAAGGCAGGCGCTTATGCCGCTGAGCTAAATCCCCAGCCCCCATTGTTTTTTTTTAATCTTTTTAAAAAAGGGTTTCACTGTGCAGTTCACGCTGACCTAGAATTCACTGTGTAGCCCAGGCTGGCCTTGAACTTTTAGTGGTTCTCCTGCCTCAGACTCCCAAGTACTGAGATTACAAGTGTGTACCACTATACCTGACCTTCGCTCCTTTTTATAATAATTGCTTAAAATAATTTTGTTGTACTGCCTTGTCATAGCTTCTCTTATTTTATTGCTTTTGCTTGGAATTGTTCCTGTTCAATAATATTTTATTTGAATCCTGTTTGACCTTCTATTTCTTTTCCTAAAACTTTTTCTGAACAGTCTGGTAAAAATATTTAATTTGTTTGTTTGTACTGCTACCATGTAATTCATCACATACTTTGTACTCAAACATTTTCCTTCCTTGATTAAATTCTCACAGTGGTCCACATAGTGACTTTTAACTCTCAAAAGGCATTCAGGGGGCCAAGGATTTAGCTCAGCGGCATAAGCGCCCTCCTTGGTAACAAAACCAAACAAACAAACAAAAAAAGGCATTCTGATTGAGAGGATACATAATTTGTCCAAGTAGTACTGGTGCTGATGTTTAAATAATTGGAGCCACCTAATACTTTCAGTTTAACTCTTGGGGCATGTTACATTTTGTTGTTGTCATAGTTCATAGAGAATTTCACGAAGACCCTTGTGTCTATCGTGGCATTTTTATCACATTGAAAATATTTGTGGATGAATAAGTGTCAGGTATGGGGGAAAATCTAGTTACACCAAAGGACAGACAAATTCAAGCTGACATACACTAACTGCTAGTGGATTCTTTATTCAAATTGGAAGAATAGATCAGGTCATTGTTCAAGCCTGTACCAACACAGTGTAACTCAATGGGTTTGAGCATTGATTAGAGTTAGACTGCCTGGGTTTTTGCCCTCCTTTGTCAGTTACCTGATACCCTCAGATTATCACTTAGCATTAGAATTGTCAAGATTAAGTGAGATACTAAATTGAAGATTCAAACTGGGCATGGTGATGCATACCTATTATCCCAGCACTCAGGGGACTGAGGCAAGAGCATTGGCTCGAATTTGAGGCCAGCCTAAGCTATGTAGTGAATTCAGGGACAGCCTGAACTATATAGCAAGACCTTATCTCAAAAAACAAAACAAAAACTCCAAAAGATTGAATACCTGACAGTGTAGTAAACGTACCATACGGAGTTGTTATTTTAATCTTACCTGTTGTCTTTCTCATTCTCTGTGATTTGATTTTGTTGTCTCAAGTGAGAATTCTCTACTTATCTATTACTGAGTATCCTGAATAGGAAAGTACAGGTTATTTTCTTTTACTTGTGTTGTATACTCGTAATATATTTAAGGGTATTAGTGGCTTAGGAGAAATGATCAGTGCATCTTTCATGGCAGGGAGTCGTCGGATGGTGGACGTTATGGATGTGAATACCCAGAAAGGCATTGAAATGACCATGGCTCAGTGGACACGCTACTATGAGACTCCAGAAGAAGAGCGAGAGAAACTCTATAATGTCATCAGCCTAGAGTTTAGCCACACCAGGCTGGAGAACATGGTACAGAGACCTTCAACGGTTAGTCTGGTCATTTTCTCCATGTTGTTGTCAGTAGAAAAGTTTTTTGCTAAGGGAACTCAGAACTTTTTGCATATACCAAGAACAAGCTGAATGAAGACTATTTGATAGAATTAACTTATATTTAGAAGAATCTTCATATTCTAAAATAAATTAGTTTTATGTAGGGCAGGATCATTCTGATTTGCATCACCAATAAGTTCATTTAGGAACTTTGACCTTTTCATGTGCTGGGAAGCTAAAAATTTGCTTATAATTAAATGAGAAGTATACTTAAATTTCTGTTCTATAGGTTAACACTTGCTGAAAAAGGCTTAGGAGAAAAACTGAGTTAGAGCCAAGTGAGCCTTTTTTTTTTTTTTTTTTTTTTTTTTTGGTCCCAGGGTATGAACTCATGACCTTGCACTTCCCAGGCAGGTGCTTGTGCCCTGAGGTAAATCCCTCACCAGCCCTAGGTGATTAAGAGATGGTTGCTGCCAGGTAGTTGATAGATGCCTGTAATCCCAGCACTCAGGAGGCAGATGAGGAGGATCATCAGGAGTTTGAGGCCAATTTGAAACTACCTAGTGAGTTCCAGGACAATCTGAACTACACAGCAAGACCCTGTCTCAAGAAACCAAAATTTAAAAAGGAGAAAGACAGAGTGGGTAACTAGATCCTACTAGTAGTAATAGATTGGCAATCCATCTTAAAAGAGTAAAATAGCTTTTGATCTTTAGCTCTCCTGAAGGCAGATTTTTATTTAACCCATCTTTTGGCTTAAAATACTGGCTATCTATACAGTATCAAGAAGATTGCTTTCCCTTAGGGGAATTGATTTCACTAGTCATTGGAGCTTTTCTTCTGTTTCCATTTAATTTCTGACTCAGAGCTCATAGGAAACCTTGAATGGTGGCACACATTTGTAGTCTCAGTTACTCAGGAAAAAGAGGCAAGAAGATCATTCGAGCCCAGGAATTTGAAGTTAGCCTAGGGCCACTCTGGGTAGTGAGACCTTGTCTTAAAGACTAACAGAAAACTCACTTGAGTCAGATATTCCACCTAGTATAGCAGATCTTGGAATGTTCTAGTCATTTTATGAAAGTAAAAATCTCAACCTATCTACACTGAAATTAATCATACCCTTTGACTTTAAAGTTGAAATGTGATCATTGTTTATGCTACCTCTAAGTATACACATGTGTATGTTACTAATAAGTTGGGTTAATATATATAACTAGTATGCTGACACATACACACAAAAGCAGGAAATGTTCTCATTATTTTCGCTGTCATCTGAATTTCTCAGTAAGAGAAGCTTCTTTTTGACAGGGTAGGTGGTACATTCCTATAATCCCAGCACTTGGGAGGCTGAGTTAGTAGGATTGCCATGGGTTTGAACCTAGCTTGAATTACAAACTGAAGTCATGACCATCTTGAACTGCATAACAAAATGCTATCTCAAAAAGACAAAAAAACAAAAAACTTCTTTCACTCTAAATGACAAGAGTCCTCTCTGCATTAGTTGTCACTGTTTTGTCATGTGAAAATACAGGGATATTAGTGGTTAGAGTTTTAACTTTTTTTCCCTCCCACTACTAGGGATCAAACCCAGAACTTAGTGCCTGCTAAACAAGTACTGTACCACTGAGCTAGATCTCTATCCATCTATCTAGACTTCTTTTTTGGTTTTGTTTTTTGAGGCAGGGTCTCATTATATAGTCCAGGCTATACTTGAACTCATGACAATCTTCCTTCCTCAGGCCCCCTAGGACTGAGATTAATAGGTATGTACCATCATGACCATTTTACCTAGCCTTCTGAATGGCCAAACATAGTCCACTAAATAAATAACTGTAAGAGGTCTATAACAACATTGTTTATAAATTCATCTCTTTAATATTTCTAGAATTTAATGGCATAAAGTACATGTCTATCTTAAGTGTACTTTTCAATGAGTTTTGCCAGATTTATTTACTTACGAAAGTATTAGCATAGTATGTAGGAGTTTCCTATGTTATCTCCTAACCTCAGAGCAACATAACCTTTTACCTTTTTTTTTTCTTTCTATTTTTGCACTGCTGGATATCAAACCTAGGACTCTGAGTATACCAGGCAACCAGTCTTCTACTGAGCCACATCCCTATCCCTGCCTTAATGTCTTATGATCTTCACTACCTTTAAAGTTTATTAGTTCAACAAATGCCTATATCTCAGCACTGTATTAGCACTGGAGGTACAGAAGGAAATAGGATCATTGTTGCCCTGTAAGAATGCTTTAGAGACTCACAGGGAAGAAAGGATGAGAAAATATTCATTTATATGAACTAATACAGTAAGAACTTTACAGAGTCTGGAGATGTAGCCCATTGATAGAGCACTTATGTAACATCAGAGGCTGAGTTTGATTCAAGCACTGTGAAAAAAAGGGAGCGGGGACAAGTACAAAATATTGCAGGAGCACATAGGAAAGACCAACCTTACCTAAGCTCAATATAAAGGAAATAATAAGGCAAAGAGGGGAAGGTGAAAATTGCAAGGAGAAGGAAAAACATGTAAAAGTAGCTATAGAAAGGTAAGGTGGGCAACTTCTCAATGCTCGTTGTAAGAGATAGCATAAAAAAATGGTCATTTGTCATTGTCATTCCAGTAGTAACTAAAGGTGATTTAAAAAGAAAACAGCAACAAATGGATTGGCAATGTAGTTTAATAAGAGCCCTAGATAAAGCCCTGTCCCCTCCCCAAAAGCAACAGATAAACATAGGGTATGTTTGTTTGGTGATGGGAAGATTAGTTAATTGAAGGCTGTAAGTTATTTTTGTGCATCGTATGAATAGATCGGGTCCAAGATACTGGATTTCTTGCTCATATAAATTTAGTTTGAGTATAGAGCAGGTTGAAATTGTATTATCCCCAGTAGAGACTTGCTCACTCACTTTTTTTTTTTTTCTTTGTTTGTTTGTTCATTTGTTTGAGACAGGGTCTTGTTATGTAGTTCAGGTTGGCCTTGAACTCAATATGTAGCCCAGGTTGGCCTCAAACTCAAAGTGAACAGTGATTCTCCTGCCTCAGCCTTCCAAGTATTGGGATTATAGGCATGCACCACCATGCCCAGCTTGAGACTCACTGTTTTATGGATTCAGGTATTTAACAAAGGGCTATTCAAAGGCTAAACATTAACCTATAACCTAAAAGGAAACTATAAACATGTTCCCATAAATTCTCTCTGTACTCAAAAGATAATAATAGCAAAGAAAGAATGGCAAATGACAGACTTGCTACAGGTGAGAAAGTCTTTCTCTGAATAAACACTTGATTAATAAAAGGGAAGGGGAGAAAAGGATATAGCTCAGCGGCACAGCACCTGCCTGGCAAGTGCAAGGTCTTGAGTTCAATCCCCAGTACTAAAAAATAAAAAAAGAAAAATAGTGAAGCATTCCAACCTTTCCCCGCTTCATCCAGAGATGAGACCTTATGGTATACTGGACAAGTAATAACAGTACAATGAAGTGGGAGGTGCTGGCCACTACATTTAAGAAACAAAAAGTAGGTTTTGTGTGAAAAAAATAAAAGAAAGGCATCTGTAAGTTCTTAGTTAAAACTGCTGACTCCTTAGTAGGGTCCTCATAGTTGTCCCTCATTTGGCTTGTTTCTTCCATGTCATTATTGAGCCTTTTTAAAATACTGTCCCACTAGCAACATCTGGATTTTCACTGGACATTGTCTCCTATCATTGTGCAGTTTTTTGTTTTTGTTTTTTGTTTTGGGTACTGGGGATCGAACTCATGACCTCATGCTTGCCAGGCAGGTGCTTTTGCCACTGAGCTAAACCCCTGGCCTCTTACCATTGTATGGTTTTTGTTTGTCTAGATATACATTGTAAGGAAAACAGATGATCAAATATGTAATTGTGAAAAAACAAAAAAAAAATGTGTAATTGTGCTAAAACATATCAGATGCATAATTTTTTAGTCATAAGTAAAATATTTGCAGTATCAACACTGTGTTGAATCCTTGGTGGCTTGATTCTCATGCTTTAACTATTTAGGGCTGTTTCTTGGGCTTAGGTACTTGAGTGCAGGCAGTTTCTAGAAAGTATTAAAATAAGGTCATATTGTTTTCATACCTCTTTCAGTTAATATAATTTAAAACAGGTTCCTAAATTCTGATAACATTGTTTCAAGTATTTTAATATAATTTTATCTTAAGCATATCCCTTTGAGATAATTATATTAGATTTCTGTAGATGCGTTCTAGGACTTCTATGATTTTTAAAAATATAACAGACCTGGAGCTCTTTGATTCCCACCCCACTAGTATCTATAGCATATTCCCCACAGAAAGCTGAAAATCCATACTGGATTTCTTTTCTTACTTTTTCCTCCTTCCCTTCCTCCCTGCCCTCCCTTTCCCTCCCCATTCTTCACTCTCTTAACTTTTAGTATCTTAGCTTTTCAAACAGTAGTGTATCTTTCAGTGAGTTTACTGGTACTTTCCAGATAGCACCTTTTACTGGTCAAAAAGCAAAGCATGTTAGACCAGTATTGATACAGAATTCTTATTTGGTCATGGCTGTGTGTCATTTAATGAGTCCATTTTGATGAATTCTGTCTTTATAGTCATCTTTATTCTCATCTAATATTTACTTCTAGAACATTTACCTCTTGACCCTAAGATTCACCAACAGATATTTTTAATTTACTTACAATGACATTATCTCTTGGTACATATTTAAAGGGATCTATTTTTCTTTTTATTTTTGAGACAAGATCTTGCTATGTAGTTCAGACTAGCCTTGAACTCACTGTGTAACCCAGGCTTGAACTTGGGGCAATCATCTTGCCTCAGCCTCCCAAGCGCTGGGATTATAGACATAGGAATTCTGTTTTTCTTGACTTTCATATTCTCTTTAACCCTAACTCTTCCCTTAGAACTTAAATATTTCCTCTTTTTTAAAAGGTGGATTTCATTGACTGGGTAGACAACATGTGGCCAAGGCATTTGAAGGAAAGTCAGACTGAATCAACAAATGCCATCTTAGAAATGCAGTACCCTAAAGTGCAGAAGTAAGTGATTTACTTTATGGTTTTTTAATGTATGCTCTGAGAAACCAAAGTGACAACAGGGAATAATTCCTGTACTTTGGTATTTGCTGTATATTGCTATTAAAATAATAATAATTTAAGTAATAGATTTTGCAGGTCCAAAAGAAAAAGAGTGTATATTGGAGTACTGTAGCACTTAATCCCACGGTTAAAGAAAAAAACTGTGTGCCATGGCAATATGTTAACTTGAAATTGCATCCTTTTCACCTACTAGAAATGATTAGATGGGAGGAAGATAGGAAGAGTACATGGGAGAATGTGGCATTTTAGTGAATGTGTCCTCTTTCCATCAGTATGCTAATGCTGCTTTTTTTTTGGGTGTCAGGTACTGTTTAATGAGTGTTCGAGGCTGCTATACTGACTTTCATGTGGACTTTGGTGGTACCTCTGTTTGGTATCACATCCACCAAGGGGGAAAGGTACGGTCATAGTCGTGGTAAGGAGTGGAATCTGCAGTTACTTAATATGCCCTGGAAATGAATGTTTGTATCTGGAGAGAATTGTAGATTTGAATTAACCTTCATGTCTAGTGTTCAGTATGTATTTGAATGTTTAGACCACTATCACTATGCCAAGATTGGCATTGTAATAGGCAATATCAACAGTCTTGTTTCTAGATTCCCCAAGTGAAGTGAAGCCAAAAGAGTAATTTTAGGAGGAGAACATAATTTCTGTATTTGGAAATGTAATAATGTAATAGAAGGAAATACACATATTGGATAGCTTCACAGTGAAATCAGTAAACAAGATCCAAATCAACTTTCCCCACTTGGAGGCATTGGTTAGAAATGTGGATTTGGGAGCTGAGGATTTAGCTCAGCGGCATAAGTGCCTGCCTTGCAAGCATGTGGTCGTGAGTTTGATCCCTGATACCGATAAAAATACAAAAATACAACACCCCCCCAAAAAAAAAGAAATGTGGATTTTGAAAAAAATACCTTCACTCCTAAAGAATTCCATTTCAGTTTGTTAGAGTGTTTCTCAACCCTATGTGAGAATGGAGACATATAGTTAATATCAGAGGTTTATAGTTAGCCTTTTCCCTCTTATTAGAAGTAAATGCATTTACGAGCAAAAGTAGAATTAAAATAAAAACAGATACTGGTTTTTTGCAGTTTTTTTTTTTTTAAAGTATGAGTTACTGCTCTAGAATAAATCCCTAATAGTCATTTTATTTACTTTAGATCCATGTAAGTTTTGTCCTCTTCGTCTTAGTCACTACCTTGGAACAAAGCAATCCTAGGCCAGTCTCTTGAAAGATACTATACTTAAATAGCTGTTATTTTGGTCTCTTAAGGCCAGACAGCCACATGTTTAAAGGAACTGCTGGGGCTGGGGATTTAGCTCAGCGGCATAAGCTCCTGCCTTGCAAGCAGGCAGTCGTGAGTTCGGTGCCTGGCACCGATAAAAAGGAAAAAGACAATCAATCAATTAATCAATCAATCAATCAATGGAGCTGCTTAGTTAATAGGCCAAATGCCCTTTTTCTCTCTAAGACCTGAATGGATTCTGGGTTCTATAGATATACTCCAGGGAAGTTCGGATGCTATTTGGTGTGATCAAGTGAATGACAAGATCTACTTCTTTGGGTCCTTAGAGTTTCCCAGACCCTTAAGTTGTATAAGATGGGAGAATTGCTTGCCTGTCTTCTACTTTGGTAGTCTTTTAATTTTGTACTTGTTTCAGTTGAGGGAAATGACTGGGTCATGTCAATGGCTGTTAACAGACTGAAGTTTTTTAACTCACAGGTCTTCTGGCTCATCCCCCCTACAGCCCACAACCTGGAGCTGTACGAGAATTGGCTGCTGTCAGGGAAACAGGGAGACATCTTTCTGGGTGATCGAGTGTCAGATTGTCAACGCATTGAGCTCAAGCAGGGCTATACCTTCGTCATTCCCTCAGGTAAGGAAGATGCAGAAGTGGGTTGTTTATTTTAGACACCTTAAATAAAAGAAAGTTGACCTTAAAAGAAACAGATGGATTACCTCCAAGAATGGTTGTGCTACTAAAGGGTACAGCAAATAATGGTGTCCTTTCTGTCATTATGGAGTAGATTCTGAGAGGGTATATTAAGAAAAAAAACTTGTAATGACGGTGATTTAACACTAAAGGTATGTCAGAATTGCTACTGGAGGGCTGGGGATGTATCTCAGCAGTACATTGCCTGTCTGAAAAGTACAAGGCCCTGAATTCGATTCCTAGTATGAAAGTAAATAATTTTTAAAAAGAATTGCTTTTCAGAAGACCCACACATTTGAGCCCCACATTAGCCTCAGTAATTCAGAATCTCTTTAGAGATGACCTAATCTACAGATGATGTTCCACCTCTGGTGAAGAACTACTTAGGTTTCTAGGAATGGCTATGAGGGCCAGAGTGCCACTAAATCAACAGTATTCTTGATCAAATCATTATTTCTAAAACATATATTTATAAAGAGCACAGGTTTTGAAGTCATAGTCCTGCTTGAGAATTCTAAGTGTTTACTGCTAGATATCACTTTGATCAAATATTTCTTTTTCTTTTTTGAGATATTAGAGTTTGACCCTAGGGCCTTAACACTGAGCGACATGTTCAGCACTTTTTAGACATTGTATTTCACGACCGAGTCTTGCTAAATCAGTAAGTTGCCCAGCCTGAGCTTGAACTTGCAATCTTGCCTCAGCCTCTCCAGTGCTGGGATTATAAGTGTGAGCTACCACACGACTTATTTATTAAAAGTTTCTTCGACAGGGGATGAAGATCAGTGGTAAAGAATTTTCCTAGCCTGAGCAAAGCCCTAGGTTTGATGCTTAGCCAAACAGACATACACTTACATACATACTTTCTCGTGACGGGTGTGATAGCACATATCTACAGTCTGAGCTATTTAGGATGCTGAGGTGGGAGGATCACTTGAGCATACAAGTTGGAAACCAGCCTGGGTGGCATAGCAAGATCTTGTCTCAAAAAAACTTATGAACATTTTCTCATTTGATGTTCACCATCAACCAGGTAAAGTATAATTTATCCTGATTTTATAGAGAAAACTGAAGCTTTTGGGGGGGGGTGTCTTTTTTGTTTTTGGTACCAGGGATTGAACTCACGACTGCCTGCTTGCAAGGCAGGTGCTTATGACGCTGAGCTAAATCCCCAGCCCCGAAAATTGAATCTTTAAGAGCTTAAATAATTTGACCAATCACTGAGAATACTACACTGTGTGCTTTCAGCTTCTATCTCTATTCCCTTTTCTTCCAGGCTGGATTCATGCTGTATATACACCTACAGACACATTAGTGTTTGGAGGCAATTTTTTGCATAGCTTCAACATCCCCATGCAGTTAAAGATATACAACATTGAAGATCGGACACGGGTAAGTAATTTTATGGAACAGTTATATGTGTAGAGGATTATACCATTAAGAAAAGATGTTGCAAGAGATTCATGAGTATTTTATTAAAATTTTACTTTTTCTTGGAAGCGCTTAAAATGTTATGTTCACATTTTGGTAATATTAAAAAAATAAAGTTTTAGGAAAGTTAACTTACTTGGTTTTGGAGAGTCAATTGTTTGAAGTTCTTGATACCTTGGATTTTCATAAGAACATAAATGAATATCTAACATAATCTCAAGCCATGCTTCTCATTTTTATGCTCATGTAATAATTTCATTTGATTACCAACCCCCAGACCACTTTACTTTAATACTTACATGTGTATCCTGTTGGAACTGGGAGTGTTACATTCCTATACCAGCACTCAGGAGGCTGAAGCAAGAGGATTGCTGTGAGTTCAAAACCAGCCTGAACTACTTAGCAAGACCCTGGCTCAAAACAAACCAAGCAAATGAATAAACAAACAAAAATATATATACTGTCTTTCTCAGCGGGGGTTCCATGAGAGAGTTAGGTGCTGTAGTCCTTATGTATCTTTATTTTCTGTATTTCCTAGATGGCCCATAGCAGACTGGTACCATTCTAGGTACATAGGAAAAAAATACAATCATTATACTTCATGGATACCAAACAAAAAACTTGCAAACTTTCTTGGATATAGGACACAGGGTCTTGCTGTGTAGTTCAGGCTGGCCCCAACTCATGGCCATCCTTTAGCCTCCTGAGTACTGGAATTATAGGTATGCACTCCCACACCCTACCAAACTTTTTGTAAAGACCCAAAGAGTAAAGATTCTCAGCTTTATGGTCCATAAAATATCTGCTGTAGCTATTGAGCCCTATCTCATAGTATAAGGGAAAGCAGTGTTTTAAAATAATTTTTATAAATGTGAACTTCTACTTATTTGTTAAAAGTAATGAAACTAAATAGATTGTAGTTTAATGAGTCTGAAGTAGTAATATTAACCCACCTATTGCAAGAGTCACTATGAAGATCAGTGTTACAATTCATTCCCTTTTTTAAGGTTCAGTATGACTGCTATACCCTAGGCTTAATTGTTTTGGTTTCAGGAAAGAAAAGGAAAAATATATTCAGTAGCATAAGTAAAATGAGCACCTTTCTTTTTCATATTCCCTGTAAATTGTTAAACTGGTTGAAATTAATCTTGATATAATTCTTAGACTTTATTCCAAAATGTCTGTTTTCCATATCTAACTGTATCTTTTAAAGTATGGCTTCTTTTATTTCAAATAAGGAATTCTGAATATGTGGGAAAAAATATAATCATTATCTCTAATTTCATTACATCCTCTATATAGTAGGCACAATCAGAATATACAATGAGTATTTTATAATTCATATAGTAAAAGACACATTGCTATTAATCCTCTCCCAAAAAAAGTACTTCCTCTTACTTCAGACACACTTATTCCATCATCTACTTATTCCCATCGTATTTTCTGAAATAGTTCTGGAAGCCCTCTTTTGTGAGCATCTTTACAAAGTATGATCAAAAATACATGGGTGAATGCTGCTGCTTAGTTCCATTACTTTTAACAAATAAGTAGAAGTTCGCATTTATAAAAATTATTTTAAAACACTGCTTTCCCTTATACTATGAGATAGGGTTCACCATCTGTTGGATGGTGAATGCCATCCAACAGAAAGGCAAGCTCAGGCTGGGGATTTGCTCAGCGGCGTAAGCATCTGCCTTGCAAGCAGGCATTTGTGAGTTTGATCCCCGGTACCGCTAAAAAGGAAAAAGACAAAAAAAAAAAAAAAAAAAAAAAGGCAAGCTCATAAAAACATGTTGTATCCTCATCTACCTTATTCTTTGGATCTGGTGCTATGCAATTTTTGGTTCTTCTTCTTAAAGTTAAAATGACCATGAAAGTTAATTAAACATGTTGAATTCAGGACATTGGAGCAGCCATACAGTACAACTAAAGACACTCATGAAAAAGAGAACTTCCAAAACCACTTTAGAAAGTGTCAAGAATGATGGGATAAGTGTATTTGAAAAAAAGTAGGGAGTATTTCAAGGAATATTAATGGCAGTGTGTTTAACCACAATGCTTTATGAAGGAAATACAAAGCAAATTATAAAAGTCAATGTTTTGGTTACTTTGACCTACGAGACCAGTGTAGAAACTTACTATTTAAACTTGAATGTTAAAAAGTACTTTTGTTGTTGTTGTCTTTCTGAAACAGGGTCTCATTATACAGTTCAGGCTGTCCTTGAGCTCACCTTGTAGCCCAGGCTGATCTTGAACTCAAAAAGATCCTCCTACCTCAGCCTCCCAAGTACTGGGATTACCATGCCCAGCTGAAAATTACTCTCTTAAAGCTTTGAAAATTTCATTTAATGAAGATTTTTTTCCCCTTGTTTTGATATGATGTCTTGCCATGGTGCCTGGGCTGACCTCAAATGCTTGATTACTTATAATCCCAGCACATGGTGGGGCCAAAACAAGAAGATTCCAAGCTCAAACCCAAGCTGGGAAATTTACTGATATCCTTTCACAACGTGGAATGAGAATGGGGGATATACCTCCAAGCAAAGGCCCTAAGCTCAGTTTCCAAAAACAAAACAAATTTGGGTTCAAGTGATCATCCTCCCTCCTTTCTCAGTCACCTGGGTAGCTGGTCCTAAGGATGCATGCTGCCATTCCTGACTTGTAATGAGTACTTTTAAAAGCCTCCCCGCCCCCCGTTCTATCTCATTCTCAGAGATTAAATATGTTTTTGTGGTATTTGGTAGCATATATAAAATATATTATGAGCAAATTGGATACATAGTGTTGTGGTTAATTTTAATATAGTCTGATGAGCTCCAAGTTAAAAAAATTTCCTTTGAGATATGGTTGCCCAATCAAGCCCTGAAGTCCTGGGCTCAGGTGATCCTGCTGCCTCAGCCTCTCAAGAAAAATGTCAGTACTCTTTGAAGGCTAGTGAGGAGTGTTGTATTTGACTTGGGGGACCAAAGACCTTAGTTTTTACCTGCCACCCATGCTCCACTTTACCAAAAATAAATTAACCTGACTTTTAAGTAAGGGAAGAGAAGCCGTTCTGTTTATTTAAAATTATAACCATGTGAAAGACCCTAATTCAGGGTCTGGCTATTTTGGATTAGAAAGCTAATTAGGATTGGCTATGAAAAATAGAACATGCCTCTCCTGCTCTGCAGTAAAAAAAAGTTTTCTCAAGTCTATTGTGTCCAAGTCAGGCATGGTAGCACATGCCTGTAGTCTCAGCACTCAGGAGGTTGAAGCAGGAGGATCCAAGTGAGTTTGAAGGAAACCTGCACTACAAAGTGAGACCCTGTTTCCAAAAACAAAGAAACAAACAAAAGAAGTATATTGTCTCCTACTCTAAAATCTTATCCTCTATCCTAAAACTCAAAAATTTCTTTTTGATACTTGCCCACTGAAACAAGACAGCTTCTTGGTGGTTCTGAATGGTCACCCCCAATACCTTTTGTCTATATAATGATTATTTTCAAAGGCTAGTATTTTCTAAGTTGATGGATGGACTCAGGTTCATGCTTTAAATGCCAACTTGAGTTTGCAGATTGACTGGCAGTGCTCTTTGCTGAGTTAGACCATGTGTCAGTCCTTGAAAAGTGCCATCACCTCATCATTCTGTCTCTGTATAGGTTCCAAATAAGTTCCGCTATCCATTCTACTATGAGATGTGTTGGTATGTGTTGGAGCGCTATGTGTACTGTATAACCAACCGTTCCCACCTAACTAAGGAATTTCAGAAAGAATCTCTCAGCATGGGTAAGTGTTCTGCCTACATAAATTGTCTAATATTTTGTGTTTCTATTTGTGTGTGTGTGGGGGTGGGGGGTACTGGGGATCAACTCCAGAGCCTTTATTCTGACTAACATCCCCAGCACTTTTTTTCATGTGTTTATTTTGAGACAGTGTGCTTAGTCACTAAAGTGCCCAGACTGGTCTCAAATTCGTGATTCCCCTGCCTCAGCCTCCCAAAGTACTGGAATTACCAATGCATTCAAGGCCAATCTGAGCTATGTAGTGAGTTCAGGGATAACCTAGCATAGCAAGTCCCTGCTTCAAACAAGATAAACTTGTCCAGCTATTTTACTAAATAGTTTACAAATGTTCAATTTTGATTACTACCTGTGATGTGAATATAATTATATCCATGTTACAGATGGGAACAATAAGATTGAAAAGATTTCAAAACTTGCCCAGAATCTTACAGTTAATAAGTAGTTAAGCCACAACTTGAATCATACGGGTCAGACTCTAAAACCTATGCTCTTAACCTTTGTACTTTGAACATTTCCTCAACATCTATCATGAGTACTATTTTACTGGATGATATGGTAGTTTCAGTATACATTTTTAGACTTTTCCGTGTCTCACATTGGCAAGAAGCCAACACTGTAATATGCTGTGATCACAGGTTTCTTTGAAATCTTCAATCCAAGGAAGATACCTTTTGCTTTAGCATTTTCTTCTAACTGTATAACTTTGCTCTTAGTTTATAATCTCAAAATTGAAAAAGCTGGGGCTGGGGATTTAGCTCAGTGGCATAAGCGCCTGCCTTGCAAGCAGGCAGTCGTGAGTTCAATCCCTGGTACCGATAAAAACGAAAAAGACAAAAAAAAAAAAAAAAAAAAATTGAAAAAGCTAACCCAACATACGAAACCAAAGTACAGGATTGTATATACAGTATGATCCAATCTTGTTTTAAAGTATATCTTAAAAATGTATCTAATTGAATCAGGCATGCTGGTGCATACCTGTAATCCTAGCACATGAGGGGCTGAGGCAGAAGGATCATTGTGAGTTCCAAGCCACTCTGACTTATATAGTGAGACCTTTTATAAGACAAACAAACAAAACAGGATTATGAGTTCAAGCCAGACAAATTAGTGACTTTGAGTGACCTTGTCTCAAAGCAAAAAATAGCTCAGTGTGAATGAGCCCAGTGTGAAAAAGATAAATCCCCAGTCACCATCACCACTACCCCCTGCTATATATGCATATACATAAAAAAAGATGGAAAGAAAATACAGTACACTGTTCAGTTGTTACTCCAGAGCAGAGGGAAAAGGGATGACTTACTTCCTTATAACATCATGCATTTTCTAAATTATTAGTAATAAAGATGTGTTATAGGACTAATAAAGATTATCACTGTGGCAACATTAAAATTTTCCTTTTCAAAAATACTCACTTTGTTCTGCTCTCCATGTTGCTGGGATTTGAACTGCCCAGAGCTTAATTTTATATACTTCATATTGTCTGTTCTTTTAGAAGATAATGAAATTAAAATCCCAAATTCAAGTTTAAATTTGAAAGTAATTTGTAGCCTCTTTCATGGGAAACTTACTGCTAGTACACAAAGACAGGATTCTTCCTAGCCATTAGAAATGCAACTGATCATTACCTCAGTTGTCCTACTAGAGCACGATCTACCTGTTACCATGATTTTCAACAGTGGACCACAGTGGATTTTCAACAGGGGAATAAGGAGAGATGGTGTTTAAAGATGAGAACTTTGCCCCTTATCTCTTGTTGTGTGCATGGCTAAGTGACATGGTCTTTTTTCATTTTTCCTTTGTGTTGGTAGATCTGGAGTTGAATGGATTGGAGTCTGGAAATGGGGATGAGGAAGGAGTAGACCGAGAAACCCGACGCTTGAGCAGTAGGCGTTCTGTCCTTACCAGCCCTGTAGCCAATGGGGTCAACTTGGATTATGATGGCCTGGGAAAAACCTGCCGAAGTCTTCCAAGTCTGAAGAAAACTTTGTCTGGGGACTCGTCCTCTGACTCTAGCAGGGGCTCCCATAATGGCCAAGTGTGGGATCCCCAGTGTAGCCCCCGAAAGGACAGGCAAGTGCATCTGACCCATTTTGAACTTGAAGGCCTTCGTTGCCTTGTAGATAAGTTGGAGTCTCTGCCACTGCACAAGAAGTGTGTTCCCACAGGGATAGAAGATGAAGATGCTCTTATTGCTGATGTAAAGGTAAGCAACTATTAACCTGACTAAAGCAATCAGTTTCTAATTTTAAAGGTAGAAAGCACAGGAATTTAGTAAGATCTCTGGTTCAGCTACAGAGAAGTGAAATAAGTACACGTGTTTTTTAGTGCTGCTTAGTGTGTTGAATCCTACAGTGAAGTTAGGTTCCTATTCAAAAATAACTGCATTTTGTGTGTTCGATGAAGATTTAAATTCAGCCCTTAAAACACAGAATCCAGGCTGACCACCAAAATAAAGGTGAACCTGAGAAAATATGTACATTAAGCTTATGTTGTGTTCTGATAAAGAGACCTATTGTGAAACAAAAGAGAAGCTAATAGCAGTCTCATCCTAAGCAGATTGAGAGAAAAGAAAATTGTCGGGGCTGGGGATTTAGCTCAGCGGCGTAAGCACCCTGCCTTGCAAGCAGGCAGTTGCAAGTTCGATCCCTGGTACCGATAAAAAAGAAAAAGACAAAAAACAAAACAAAACAGAAAATTGTCTTATGCTCTGTATGTTGAGTAGATACAACATCTTTAGTTGCTATATTAAGACAAATGCATCAGGACAACTTCCCAAAAAAGTGTCACTTTAAGCATAATCCTGACTATGATTTCATCATATTTTTCTTGTTTTTTAAGAGGTCTTCCAACATAAATTAAAAAAAAAAAAAAAAAAAACGGGGTTGGGGATTTAGCTCAGTGGCCTAAGTGCCTGCCTTGCAAGCTCGCAGTCATGAGTTCGATCCCTGGTACCAATAAAAAACAGTAACAAAAAAAACCCACTTTGCCTACCCCTCATACATTAGGCTAAAAGAAATGAGCTTATTTCTATGAAATCCTGATTTGAGTTCTCTAAACTGGAAAAAAATCTCTTACCCCCCTTCTTCCTCTTATGTCTCTGCCCCATCATCTCTCACCCCAACTCCATCTCTCTCTGGTATCTTGCTCTGTCTCTGTCTGTCTTTACCTCACTTCCCCTCTCTGGTACCTTGCTAACCTTAAACTCCTGAGTTTAGACTATCCTACTGCCTCACTGGCTCAGTCTTCTAAGTAGCTTGGATTATAAATGTGTCACTGTACCCAGCATTATTTTCTTTCTGTTTTTCTCTTCCTTCCCTTCAGTCTTTTAAGTACCCTATGAAGAAAGATTTCTAAGATTATGTCTTGTAAATGTATTTGATCTGTGTATCTATTTCTTGCTCTCCTTTTTCCTCTTTCTGTCACTCTTCCTTCTCACTTTCTTCTTTCCTCTTCCCCCTTCCCCTTTTTCCTCCTTCCCTTTCTCTTTTTCCCCTTCCCCTTTCTTCCTTGTTTCAGCCCAGTCCTCCCTTCCCCATTGTGTTCATCAAACTAAGGGCCTTGTGCATGCTAGACAGACTGTCTACCACTGAGCTACACCTATAGCCCACAATTTCCTTTTTAAATCGGGATCTGGAGCTGTATCTTGGGTATGTGTATTCAAAATCTGAACCATGGTTCATAATAAATGTTTTTTAAATTGCTACATATATTATTTTAGGCCATAAAGAACTTACAGAGAATAATTCTGTGACCCCCAATAAAAATGGACTAAATGTCATATAGTATGTCTTTCCTATCCCTGATTCTTGATTCAAGTTTTGTTTGTTTATTTTGTTGAGACAGGGTCTTGCTGTATAGTTCAGGCTAGTCTTGATGAGACTGTGTAACCCAGGCTGGCCTCAGACTCCCAAGTGCTGGATTTACAGGCATAATGCCACTGCTTGGCACCATATAACCAGCTGTGATATTCCCCAGCTTTTGTCATCTCAAGAAAGTATTCCAAGACTGAAATGGGACATATTTTTTTTTTCTTTTTACAGTTGACTTTGGTTTTGTTTTTGTTTTTGTTTTGATACTGGGGATCAAACTTACAACCTCACACTTGCCAAGGTGGGTGCTTATGCCGCTAAGCTAAACCCCTAGCCCTACAATTGATATTTAAATTACATAAAACATGTACATGCATCAGTAAAAAGGCAAACAATTACAGAAACTAAGAGTAGTAACTTGGTGAGATGGGTCCTCTTTAATAGCAGTAGAAGCTGAACATTTGGTGGTGAAGTTTAGTTTTATAAGGTTTGCTTTAGAAGAGGCAGGTGGTATCATTGCAGCTTTTATTTAAAGGAGGAAATTACATCATTCCAGGTTAATGTAGTCCCATTTCCACAATTAGTGTGTAACAAAAGAAATTTAGCCATGCTTTTCCAGACTCAAGTTAGGTATCAGACTCATTCCATACACTTGAGTGAACAAAGAACATTTGAGTTTTTTTTATTGTGATAGGATTTAAATAATTATATAATCTCGAGTGTTTAGTCAAGTGTAACATTGTCATAGTCACTTTTTTACTGCTAAGACACAATACCTGATACCCACAGATTAAAGGAAAAGAGGTTTGTTTTGGCCCACAGTTTGTAGAAGTTTCAGTTCATAGTTGGTCAAACCCCAAGGCAGGACAGCATGGCAGAGGAGTATAGTAACATGGAGACTGTAGCATGGCAGACAGGAAGCAGGAGCCAGCCAAAAAGGGTGATAAAGCCTTCCAGGCCATATACCCCATGACCTCCCTCTTCCACTCAGATGCCACCTCCTAATAGCAAGTCATCTATAAACCTACATAGTCCATTCAGAGGTCCCACCTACCATTACATGAGGTTTTAAGGGAAGAGGGAATATCTAGATCTTTCCTAAATAAATCTCTGTATATGGCTATTCTATCATAAATGTGTATGGGAAACAAATTATAACCTTGAGACTTTTTAACTTCTATTATTGTCTTTAGAACCCTATGAAGAAAGATTTCTAAGATTGTATCATAAATTTTTAAAATTTGGGTGTTTGTATTTTTAATTCATGAGAAAGAGTATCTTTTGAGTTCTAAGGTAGATGTCTGTAGATAGGTTTGATGTCATTGAATCCAATTGTAGAAGTCATATTATACTCCACTAATCAGTCATACAAAGTTAACAGTCCTAACTGAAATATAATTGAAATAGACAGGCTCCCATTAAGTAAAGTCATTGGCGTAATTAAATAAAATTAGAAGCTGTGTGTGGTACCACACTTTTCATCCTGGCACTCTTAAGAGGCTGAGGCAGGAAGATCCCATGCTTGAGCCCAGTCTGGGCAACTTTGCAGCTTTGAAAGACCCTGTCTCAAAAAGTGGAGGGGGGAGATACTCAGGGCAAGAACTCTGGGTTCAGTCCCAGGTACCATCAAAACCTAAACAAGATAGCCAGTGTCAGAAAATACCAGATTTAGATCTCGTATCTACAGGTAGTTTCATTTATAATCAAATAAAATAATTATTCCTGTATTTGAAGTTATGTTTAGAGAGAGATTGCAATAATGTGTTTAGAACTTCAGTACTTTGAGAATCTAAGCATCACTGAAAAGGAAAAGCAATGAATGAGGTAGATGTCTAATCACTGCAGTTGGGAACAAAAGGAAACAAAAATTTAGTCTTCATGCAAAAAGAGGAATTATTTCCTTTTAAAATCTCTTTGGCTGGTCTGGCATGTGGTAGTACATGCCTGTAATCCCACCACTCTGGTGGCTGAGGTGGGAGGATTACCATGAGTTTGAGGCCAGCCTGTGCTCCATAATGAGACCTGTCTCAAGAAAGACAGACAAGGCAGGCAGGCAGACCAAAAAGTGAATGAGTGAATGAATGAATAAAATTTCTCTGGCTGGGCTTGACTGAGCATCCTGGGAGTTAATGTCTGTCACAAGAAGGCCCAAAAGGTCTAGTGCAAGGAACCCCGGAGCCAGGACATCTACCTGAGGCTTTTGGTCAAGCTATTCAGGTTTCTGGCCAAATGAACCAATTTTACTTTTAACCAGGTTGTGCTAAAGGGGCTGTTCATGTTTTGCTCTAATCTGCCAACTAAGTCCCTTTCCTGAATGATCTAGAAGATGAAGTTTCCTGGCTGGGAAAATAAAACTGCTGTGGTCATGAGGACAATATTAGATAACATGCAGGCCCAGGAGGTGGTCGAACTGAAGGTTTGTTCCTTGTGTTTGAGCAGCCAGGCCAGCAGCCATATTTTCAAGGCTAGGGATAAGTTGAGTTTAGAGCCAAGCATTGTGGACCATACCTGTAACCTCAGCATTCGGGAGGCAGGCAGAAGATTGCTGTGAATTTGGGGCCAGCGTGGGCTACACAGTGAGTTCAAAGCCAGCCTGGATTACATAGTGATATCTTGTCTCAAAATATATATATATATATTTTTGGATGTAAAAAAAAAAAAAAAATCTGGTTCCCAGAAATAACTAGTAGAAGAAATGAGAAGAAAAGTAATGATACAAGGTACCTATAATTTCATATTCTCTGGAAAAAAAGTCCAGTTTAGTATGATGATAAAAGAACTTTGAATATTCTAAAATGTTAAGTTTACAGTATTGAAAAAAGAACGATAGAATTGAAAGGAGAGTGAATTAAAAATATGGGATCAAAACATATTAACTGACTGGTAAAATGAATCAGGCTAGGTAAGGTTCTGTTTGGGAAAAGTGTGGGTAATCTCAATTTTTTGAGAAAGACTGCTAAAAGAAAAAGAGTTCTCTCCAAGTTACAACCTTTACATACATTCAATAAAAAGGCAAGATATGGAAGAATATATAGATATTCCTCATTTAACAACTGGCCTGTTTAACTACTGTTCAGACTTATGACCAAGGCATGCTATTTAGACTTACAACTCAGTTTTTGGTTATTTTTTTTTTTCACATTTCAGCCTGTACCTCTTGTTTATACAGCACCAATATCTTTTTTAAAAAGTATACCTTATTTATACAGTACTGTAATTTTTGCTGATTGTTCTGCATAGGACTATAATTTTATGTTGTACATTACAGTACTCCATGTAAGTTAACCCAAATGAAAACAAAGTCATCAAGTTGGAATTTCTTTTGACCATATTTTTGTTCTGATTATTGTAATGTGCATACACAGTTCTTCATTTAGCAAATAATTCATTTAAC